GCTCTCTGGTGTGTGCTGGGTTTGCATGACTTTTTCCTATTCCTGTTTCCCAGTCTCAAAATTTTTTTCTGTTTCTTTGTTTTTGTTTTTGTTTTTTTGTTACAGATACCAGAAAAGTTCACACTGCCACTGCCCGAACCTTATTCCGGCTGCGCCCCTTGCCTATTCTGTTAGCAACAGGAAGCGGTTATGTAGGGTACCGGCAGTATGAAAAGTATAGGGAGCGAGAGCTGGAGAAGCTGGGACTGGAGATTCCACCCAAACTTGCTGGTAACTGGGAGGTAGGAATAAGGTGGGACCACCTACAGGTCTCATCCAGCACAGCTGTCTGTTGCTTTCTAAATTGCCCCAAAGTTGAAATATTTGAACAAGTCAAATTTGCTTTCTTGGAGCTCATGACTCCAGTGGGTTTTGGCCAAATATAGGAGTCATACCTTTGGTGTCATGTCTGGTTTCTCTTTTGTTTCTGCCCTACTCCTGCTGTCTTCAGGGGCCAAGTAGAAATTTTTAGCTGTTGAAATCCTGAATGTTTATGTCTTACATTGGTTCTGACATCCTGACTATTCTACTGTTTTTGCACTTCTTGGTCTGAGGAGGGTGGACTTTTGTGATGTGGATTAGTTCTCAGGAACCAGACTGAAATAATCAGATTCCATTATTATTGCTCAGAATGCTCTCCACCAATCATACTCACATAACAGGAACAATCTGCACTGTTGTTGAACCTTGTGTCCTATATAATGAACTGTCTTATTCATCTCTGCTTTATGAACAGACACTCTAATATTGAAATTTAGCATAAAGGTGTAAGTTTAAAAATTGCCTTCTTGCCAGGTGCAGTGGCACATGCCTGTAATCCCAGTGGCTCGGGAGGCTGAGGCAGGAATTTTGTGAGTTCAAAACCAGTCTTAGCAAAAGTGAGGCATTAAGTAACTGAATGAGACACTATTTCTAAATAAAATCAAAATAGGCCTGGGGATATAGCTCAGTGGTTGAAATGCCCCTGAGTTTAATCCTCAGTGTTCCCCAACCCCACCAAAAAAATTGCCTTCTCTGCATCCTTAATTTAACAAAAGAAAAATCTAAAATATCAAAGAACCAATAATAGGTCCCAATAGCGCAGACAAAAGAGGGAGTAAAAATTGAAGCTTTCTGGTATTTGAAAGGGAATAGTGCATTTGGATCTTCTCTTGAACCACTTCATATTGTTGTTCCAGCTCCACTGAATCCAGTCAAATAGGACCTACAGCAACAGGGTGTCAGAATCCTGATGCCAAGTCCCAGTCAGTATCCTTTGTAGCTATATGAAATTGAACATGTCACTTTCTGTCTGGTTCTCTTTGTCTTTAACTATAAAAAAGCAGATTGCATTGGAACATGACTCTGAGGTGCCTTCCAACTTCAACACAGGTTCTCTTGAAATCGTTTTTATCAGGTATGGTGGCATATGCTTGTAATCCCAGACTTGGGAAGTTGAAGCAGGAGGATTGCAAATTTGAATCCAGCTTCAGCAATTTAGAAGACCCCCACCAACTTAGTGAAACCCTGTCTCAAAATAAAAAAAATAAAAGGTCTAGGGATTCTCAGTGGTAAAAGGCCCTGGGGTTCAAGCCCCAGTACCAACTCCCTGCCAAAAAAAATGGAAGTTTTGTTGCCATTTGCATTGCATGCTATACAATAGACTTCCTCCCAAAATTCTCTTTTGGATTTTGGTTTTGAATATTTTTCTCCAATAGAATTCAGTATAAGAATTTTACTTGTGTTGTGTTGTGTTTTGTAGGGGAGGGATACCCATGGGCACTTAACGACTGAGCTACCTCCCAGCTTTTTATCTGAGACATGGATTTAGCAAGTTGCTTAGTGCCTTGCTAAGTTGCTGAGGCTGATCTCAAACTTGTGATCTTCCTGCCTCAGTCCTTTAAGTCGCTGGGATTACAGGCATATACCACCACATCCGGCTCACTTATGTTTTGAATCTGTGAAACTGTGACTTAGTCAGCTGGCCATTCAGATTCATATTGTAGCAGTAACATTAGGAGATATCTGTCTGTAGTTCTCCCCTTTGCCCATGTGCCTATACCATTGGTCTGTTCATATAACCTTGGACTTTATAATAATTACCTCAGATCAAAAAAAAAAAGTTTTCTGGTAGTATATCACAGAAACCTTTTTATGAAGGTAATTTTGACATATGTGAGTCATACTTTCAAAATGTGCTGCTTTGTCTCCTATGATCTTGGCAGTTTCCTTCTTAAGTATATCATTCTCCATTAAACTAATAAAGTAAATGTAATGTAAACATGGGTAGCACAATAATGTGATTGTCTGACACCATGCAAATGTCAGACCCAAGCTGGTCTCTTTGACCACAGGCATTTGTTATGTCGACTCTTCCTGTAATGAGCTTGTGTATTTTCAGGAAATTCCCATTCATTTCAAAGGTATTCCAAGAAAATCTAAATTTGGAAGAAATCCGCTTCCAAAAATCATAAGAGCCCAGTACCAATAGTTTTTTAGCATTTACTCTTTGTATAATTGAGATTGCTGCCATACTAATTTGATATGCACAAAATGATTATTTGTAAAAAGGGCAGGGTGAATTATCTCATAAGGTCTAGGGCTGGACAGTGACAGGAGACTCTGGAGTGGAGTGGCATCATGCAGTGTGAGGTCTCAAACCCATCTATTGGTAAAGAACTGGACTTAAGTTAGATATTGTTCCTTTGTTTGAGTAACATGGTCATAGGACCACTCCTGGATTTTTTAAGTAAGACTCAAGCTTTTCATTTTGGAAAGAGGAAATGATCTGGACTCAGAGTTGACTTTATAAGATTTTAGGAGAGGCAGCAGGTTGAGAAGGAGAAACCTTAATTGGCAGTTGTGAGTTGAGTCCTAGTCCTTTCCCCACTCCATCTAATCACTGTCATTGCAAATGAAAAATAGATTTTCCAGATCTGACTGACCATCAGTCATTGGGGAATTTTAAAAATAATGAGTTCTATAATCTCACCCCTGGAGGTTTAGAAAAGGTAAACAAGCCTCTAAATCTGTGGTATGGGGTGTGTGTGTGTGTGTGTGTATGTGTGTGTGTGTTTGTGTGTGTGTGTATGTGTGTGTTTGTGTGTGTGTGTGTGTGTGTGTGTTTTGTGTATGTATTGTGGTATTAGGGATTAAACCTATTGAGCTCAACCTCACCCCCCTTTTTTGAGACAGGACCTTGATAAATTGCTGAGGCTGGCCTCAAATTTGTGATTCTGCCTCAGCGTCCCTAATTGCTAGGATTACAGGAGTGTGCCACTCCATCTGGCTTAATTTTTGTTTTGAATGAAATAGTTTTTTAAATTGTAAAGTACTCATATAAGAATTTAAGTAGTAGAGAAGAGATTATTTACTAATGCCATTCTCATTCTCCAGAGCAAGCAAGCATTTTTAATATTTCTTACATATCTCTCTGTAAAACCTCTCCTTTTTTTAATTTAAAGTTGATTTAATTTTTAAAAAATGATCTTTACTGAGCTAGGGATATAAAAAGTCAGTGATAGAGCACTTGCCTAGCATTATTAAGGCCCTGAGTTCAATCTCTAGCACTATAAGAAAAAGAAAAATTATGAAGACATTTTTTTAGTTTGAAACTGGGTCTTGCTAGATTGCCCAGACTGGCCTTGAATTTGCCATCACCCAGTCTTAGTATTCTGAGTGTCTGAGATTTCAGGCATGCTATCATGCTGTGCCTAAATATATCCTTTTTGATAAACGTATATACCTGTAGAGCCACTGCCACTGCCACATTCAAGATATTTGCCCCTTTTCAATCAGTGTCTCTACACATGGGTTCAGGCAACCACTGAACCACTTTCTGTCACAATATATTTGTCTTTTAACAATTTTATATATATATGAAATCATACAGTAAACTCTTTTATACATGGTTTATTTCACTGAAAATAATGTTTTGGAGATCCATGTTATTGCATGTATTGGGTTTTCATTCCTTGGTGCTGGGTGGTATGGGTGCTTCTTGACTTTTGATGAAATTGCATCTTGATAAAGCTATCAAAAATTTAAAAAAAAATGCATTTAATATACCTAATCTATTGAACATCATAGTTTAGCAACACAGTACACTATAGATTATCAGTTGTTTACTTGTGATTTCATGGCTGACTGGGACATGCAATTTGATGCCACTGCCCAGCATCTTGAGAGAGTATTTTAATACATATTGTTAGGCCAGGAAAAGATGATTGTTCAAAATATGAAGTATGGGGCTGGGGTTGTGGCTCAGTGGTAGAGCGCTCGCCTAGCATGTGTGAGGCCCTGGGTTTGATCCTCAGCACCACATAAAAGTAAATAAATAAAATAAAGGTTTTGTGTCCAGCTACAACTAAAAATTAAATATTTAAAAAAATATGAAGTATGTTTTTCAATGAATGTGTCAGTAACACTTTTGCACCATTGTAAAGTCAGAGCATCAAAATGTGGGACTGTTTGTATTCTGTTTGTCAGATACACCATAAATTATTTTTTTGAGACGGTCTCACTAAGTTGTGTAGCACCTCATTAAATGCTGAGGCTGGTCTTGAACTACTTGTTATCCTCCTGCATCTGCCTCCTGAATAGCTGGGATTACAGATGTGCACTACTCTGCCTGGCTACTACAAGTTATTTTTAATCCTCCATGTTGGGGGGATACTTAGTTTAATTGCAGCTTTTGCCTATTATATATACAGTAAATTTAGTGTGAACATTTGTGTATAAGTCTTGAAAATTTGTCAAATTTGTTTAGTTTCTCTTACGTTGCCTAAAAGAAAAATTACTGGGTCATAATATAAGTGTGTATTTAACTTTATAAGAAATTGCCAAATTATGGAAGTAGTTGTACCATTTTGCATTCCCATTTCAATATATTTGAATTCTGTGTTCTTGCTAGTCTAATTAACTTACTAGTTATGTTAGATTTTTAGTAGAAATTTCATTGTAGATACTCTGTTTTTCATTGAAAGTATCAAGTTGTTTTATGACTTCCTTTTTTCTATTTATGATCATGTTTTCCATTAAATTTTTGAACATATCATGGCTATTTATATAGCTCTCTCATACATCCTTTTCTCCTAATGTCACTGTCTTCTGTCATTTCTGGGTCTGTTTTTATTGCTCTCCTCCCCCCACCACCCCACCCCAGTGCTGGGGATTAAGCCTAGGGCCTTGTACATGCTAGATAAGCACTCTACCACTAAGCCACATCCACCAGCCCTACTAACTTGTCACTCCCCCCACCCCTGGTTATCAGTCACATTTTCTTCTTTCTTCTAATACCTAATCATTTTGATTCAGTGATTTAAATTGTGAGGTTTTTATTTTTGTGTGCTTTTTACTGAAAGTTCGGTCCTTGTCCCTGATGCCAATCCAATAATGAAGACACAATTTTGAGAAAAAGGGAAAAGAAGGTTTATTGCTTTCTAGCAGAGGACAATCACAGGGGACTCCTGTCCCATCGCAGGAACAGGGAGCTTTTATAGAGGTGATTCAAAGAAAATGAGATTAGGGAGGAGAGATCAGGGAGAAGAAGATTGGGAAAAAGAAAAAAAAATGTAAGTTTCAAAGCCACAAGGCATATAGTCAAAGCATCCAGTGAACCCCTCTTACATTCTGAGTTTTGTTATTTTCCTTCAGGGTGTTGGACTTTATTCTGACAGGCAGTTAATTTATTTGTGTATCATTTTGATCCTTTTAAAGCTTCATTAGGATAGATTTAGAGTAATCTTTACTTTGGACTAGTTTGGCCCTACTACTGAGGACCCTTCTTGCATCTCTACTAAGTGAGCATTCAGTGAGGACTTTCCATTCCAATTGGTTGAAATGTAGATGTTTCCTGGTCCTGTGTGAGCTTGGGAGAGTGTAAGGTTTAGTGCTCTAAGAATTTTTTTTCAACATTGTGGAATTTAACTGTATATACGCAACTTAGTTTTCATCAAGATGTTGCCAAAAGGTCAGTCCTTAACCCTGATGCCAATTCAATAACAAGGACATGATTTTGAGAAAAGTTACATTTAAAAAACCATTGTTTTGGGCTGAGGTCGTGGCTCAGTGGTAGAGCACTTGCCTAGCAAGTGCAAGGCCCTGGATTCGATCCTCAGCACCACATATAAATAAATAAAATAAAAGTATTGTGTCCAATTTCAACTAAAAATTAAAAAAAAAAAAAACATTGTTTTTCCTTTTAAATGTCCATGTAGGACTACGCTCTTAGGCTATGCTGTCCTGCCAGGTGTTAAAGACCAAGTTGGTCAAAACTGACCTTGTTCCTATCTATTCTTAAGAGTCAGCTGAGATTCCTCAGAGATCACTCGTGGGCACATGTACAAAGTTTCCTGGTTCTTTTAGCATTTTTCTATCAGTGGTGCCACTTGTCAGAATAGGTCAGGTTTGACTGACCATATGTAGCTTCTCTTGGAAGTATCAGGGACATTTCCCTCTTCAATGATCCTCCTCTTTGCAGAATGTGCTCTGGTTGGCTTCCTGTTCTCTAGGGTCCTCTCCATCTCCCTGATAAGTAGATCGGATGACTCAACTAGAGTTGCAGGGCCGAGAGAGGGCTGCCGTCATTCTTTGGGTCCTGGCTGACTGTAGAGGGCAAGGGCCAAAACGTCAGCTGCTTTTTCCTTGGTTCTTTCATTTCCTTGACTTTGGTCTCCAAGTTTTTGTTTTTAAACACCCAGCAAGCCAGTTTCAACAGGCTTAAAGAGGGAATGACTTCAAAATCTATAATTTTACATTATCCCTTTCATTTAATTGGGGTCAGTGTTAGTGCTCCAAGTCAGCATTGTATAGTATCATTTAGTGTCTGTCCTGTAGGTGATAGCTTATTATCTCAAATTAACCAGTTTCTTTCTTTCTTTCTTTCTTTTTTTTTTTTTTAAAGAAGCAGTACCTTTGCAAAACACTAACAGGCAACAGTTATAAAGTTTACAAGGAAAATGCAAAATGAAGAGCAAAAACATATTCAGTTTGTGTAATAGCTATGAACAAAGAGAAAAATCTTGAACCTTTACTTAGTTATACATTATATCCCCTGTTTGAAATCACAATAATCTTTACAACAAAAAATCAGTCTTTTGAACACAACTTTAAATGAGCTGAAGTCTAGCTTATTTTGGAGCCATTCTAACATGGAGTAAGGTGGGAGGCAGAGCCTTATTTCAGGTAAGGGAGAGGGGCTTTTCACAATTAATACAATACAGCATTACACCTGAAACTTGAATTACAGACAGGCTAAGTTCAGAGAGCTTTTAACTTTCTTTTTGTGGAAGAAGTGGCAGAATGGTTCCATGTTTTACAGTGTCACCTTTAAACAGATCAGGCTTTCCTTAATACCTTCCAAAAATACATTTAAATTTCAATTCCAGTGTGAAGAGTAACACAAAATTGAATATATAACTTATTGACAACAGATTACTTTATCCAGGCATAAAACATCAAATGACATGAACAAATACCAACCAAATTTGTTATTTTTATTGGAGATCTTTGCTATACATAATTTTAGTTTGGAGAACAGTCTGGCTCTCCTAAGTTTTACATTTATCTTAAGTTGAATTTTTAAAGTACAATTTAGAATCTAGAGTGTACAATAATAATAGTCACAGGTCTGCATGGGTTGATAAAAATCTAAGAATAGCCTTAAATCTCTTATACATTTAGGTAACAGAGTTCATCATCAGAAATTGACTTTAGGAAACAGTGTTCACCATCAGAAATTGACTTAATCAAAGCAAACAGGTATAAGACAGGTCTTCAAATGACAGTGTGGCCCTTCTATGTCAGATACAATGTAAAAAAGAGCACTTACTGGTTATCTTGCCAGTAACATTACATAAACTTTCATTTTATAGACATTTACATAACTCTTAGACAAGGCTTAGAAAGAGAGTTCTCAGATACATACGTATACCTAGTCACCTATATTTAGGGTGTCAACTATATTGTTATAACCTAAATAACAGTTGTTTGTTTAACCAGTTACAAAGTAATCATTTAAGACTTTAAAACAGGTACAAACTCTAATTACTAACAAATGCAAGAAAATTATCTCAGTAGATAAGAGCATATCAATGTTTCAAGCTTTGCTTCATATCAGTACATTGAAGTTCAAGTAACTTTGTGCTTATTATAGCCAATTTAATCATAAACACAAATTTTTTGAGATTTACCTTCGACAAACCTTCTGTGACATTCTTAGACATTCACAACTTTACATCCTTAGTTTTGTCTTCTTTCATCTTGGAATTTAGCCCCAGAATATTACTTTACCCACATAAAATACTTTCTCATCCAGAAACATTTCTTTTGCCTTCTGATTTTCCATACTAAAATATATTTTTTATACCTATAACTTTCTTTTATCTTTTCAAGTTTTGGATCCTTTCTTAAATTCATATTCTGAAACAGACCTTATGAATGTTATCTGTGCATTTAATTTACACAAGTTATTTTATCCCAGGAAAGGGTTGGGCAATCCAGCATATACAAAAAACAAACAAAAAAACCCCTATGCTTTTTTCTCCCAGGTTGCATTCAAGGTGTTGGGGCACAGGAAATTTTTGAGCCTGACCTGTCTCCGTTATCATTATCACAATGCCATCAACTTTAAGTGAGTTCCCCACTGTTATTTGTATCCAGAGGCTCCTTTTTGGCCTTTTTTCTTACACTAGGCATATTGACATGCAATGGAGGTGGCCCTTTCCATCCTTTTCTTTAGATTTCCTTGAGATCTTTTTGCAGAAGCTGCCTACAAACACAGGTTGTCCTATTTTCTGTCTTTTCTTTTCTGTGTGCAATTATTTATTCTGCCAATCTCCCCAGGCATTTAGTTTGATGGGATACTATTATAGCAAGAATTGCTTTGTCCCAGTGGTGAATATTCCCTGGCCAATTGGGGTCTCCTGTCATATCTTAAAAAGAGAGTCCATTTCTGTCCCCAGGTCATAAATTGATAGTGCTAGAACCTACTGCCATATCCTTTGTGGACAATAGCCTTCACTTCCCAGGAGCAAAAGAGGCTGGAAGGCAGGGCAGAGTCCAGGTTCTCTTTGGCCATTTTTCTACAGCCCAAGCAGCTTTGGGGGGATTTTTTTCTTCCCCCAGTTTAGGGCTAGTGTCCTTGACATAGTGAGTTGATTGCAGCTGCCTGGGGCCAGGCTGAGAAACAGTGCTGGGACTACTAGCACTGGGTTTAAAATAGTTAATCCTTTCTTCTGGTATCCTGCTGTCCTTGCACATCAGAGGCAGTGCCTTTTGACACCTTCAGCTTAATTTTTGATGGTTCAGATCCCTCATCATGCAAATGCATAAATGTCAGTATATAATCTATTTCATATGCTTTAATCCTTACAGACCAATTTCAGAGATTGTATAATAATCCAGAGAAACCCTTTTCCTCTTAGAAAGGCTTATTTCTATAGGTGGCCCTTGCAGCCAAGATCTGTCTCCTCAAGAGACTAGCAGTAAGTTCAATGCAGCATGGCCCATATCTTAAAGGGCCAGTAACTGACAAAAAAACAGACAAGAGGATCACCCAAACCAGGGCCGACAGATGGGAACCTTTAAAACAGACAGACCTTGCACATACAAATTTCTTCCACTCACTTTACCCTTTTGCAGACCAACTACAACTGCAAGATTATATTATATTGTAGAAATCTGCTTGAAAGCCACATCATTACAGTACAACATTATCTTAGGCAGACTTACAGGTGGCCCTTTCTTCAACTCATTTTACTTCTGACAGACCAACTCCAATTGCAAGATTGTACAAAAAAGAAACAGAGACAACCAGAGACAACTCCCAAACTATGGCCAACAGATGGGAACCTTTAAATTGACCAGCCAAGATCTTTCCTAAGAGACTACCCATAGAATCAGTGTAGTACTGGCCATGTCTTAAAAGCGGCAGTAGCAGATACAAACAAAACAGACAACCAGAGGGGATTCCCAAACCATGGCCAACAGACAGGAACCTTTAAAACAGACAGACCAGACAGGGGAAAATCCCAAGTTCCAAACTCTCACTTAACAGTGACTTCTACACCTGTGGCACCATGGATGTCCCCACAAAGGGGAACCAGATGTGTAGAATCAAGGGTCTATGTGCACACGGGGAAGCATACTCTGTGGCTAAAGTTGTCACGACTTTCCTGAGTTCAGTTTCCTTTTTCTCAAAGTAGAGCAACTTGTGCAGTTCAGGAAGAGAAGGTGGGAGTTCCCCGAAGCAAAAAGAGCTTTGGCAGCTGCTAGGGAACCTTTACCCTTTTGCAGAACAACTACAAGGTTGGTCCGTCAGTCCCTCCCTTTACTCACAGAAACAGCTCCTCTGGTTCTGTCCAAGGCAGACTCACACCGTTTCCAAATTTCTCCAGTGTCAGCTCTCAACAAACTCACCAGCCATCTTGTATCCTCAGCATGGAAGTGGGATTCCATGGAGAGCCAGACCTGCCCAAGAAAGCAGGAGCAGGGGCTGCTCTTGGATACAATCTAGGTCGCCAGATTTGTTGCTGAAATCTCTGTTTTTGTTCCTGATGCCAATCCAATAACGAGGACATGGTTTTGAGAAAATTGAAAAAGAAGGTTTATTGCTTTGCTAGCAATAAACATTGTTAGCAATAAATATTGCTTTGCTAGGGAACTCCTATCTTGAGAGGCTGTGATTCTGCCCGTCTGCAGGATCAGGGAGCTTTTTATAGAGGTGATTCAGAGAAAATGAGTTTGCGGAGAGAGATCAGGAAGGAGAAGATCAGGAAAAAGAAGATCGGGTAGGAGAATGTCAGGGAGATGAAGGTTGGGAACAAGAAAAAAAACTAAGTTTCAAAGTCACAAGGGATAATCAAAGCATCAAGTGAATCCCTGTTACAAGGAGATTCAGGAACTCCCCTTGAAAATTTATGGACATTACTTTCTCCACATAACTCCCTCCTTTCTGATTCTCTACATTAAATAATCTAGCTCTTTATTGGTGTGAAGTCACCTGGGTTTTATTACTGACATGCAGGAATCATTTCAGCAGGAACTCATGGGAGAACCTGTATTATGTATTGGGAATGATTGCTTACAGAAGCTGTTACCACCCAGTTAAATATCATTTGTCCCCATGTCTTATAGTCATAATACACCATGTTGGCCTCCTGATCTGTGCTTTGAATTCCTATAGGCCAAGGTTGAATTATGCATGCTTCAGGCTTCCAGAAAGTCCTTTATCAAACCTTGGTTTGGTGATGATAGTGTCTCCTTGTTTATTGGACAAAAGGCAAGAAGATGCTAGGAGGACAGGGAAGACACGCTTTGTGCCCAGAGGACACATTAACATGAAACCTGGGATTGGAAGCCATGAAAGTGATGACTGATAATCCCTGGAGAGTAAAGTTAGAGGTGAAAAACATGGGGACCACTCTCCCTTGCTTCACTTCTGTTGCCCACTGTTAGTCTTTATTACCTCTGTTTTATGAGCATAGGTGTCTCTTTGTCCATTTGTCCCTCTATCTCTTCCTTCTTCTCATTACCTTCTCCTGTCACTTTGCCATTTGTTCTGACTAATGGCATTCTCTCTTGCCCTCCGTAGAAACATTTTCCAAAATATTTTGGTGAAGTATACCCACCAGAGTTTTGGGGATACTTCTTTCTCTTTGCCAGTGCCATCTCTTCATTTCAACACCCCATCCTCATCCCCTTGGTAAGATATACTGTCATAGCTCTAGCTGTTGTAGCCAAATAATACAGACTAGGTGGCTTAAACAACAGAAATTTATTTTCTTACAGTTTGGAGGCTGGCAGTTCAAGATCAGGGTGCTAGCATAGTTGTGCTCCAGTAAGAGCACCTTCCTGGCTTACAGATTGTTGCTTCCTATGTCCTCTTATGGTTGAAGGCAGGGTTTGGTGGAGGGGGCACCCTCAGTCTCTCTGGTGTCTCTCTTCTTTTAAAGGCACTTAATTCCATCTTGAGGACCCCACCCTTACAGCGTCATTAAACCCTTAGAGGCCCCATTTTTAAGTGTACAATTCAGCAACATTAAATACAGTCAGTGTTTTTGTAGCCATTACCACTACTCACTTCTAGGATTTTTTCGTCATCCTAAACAGAAATTCTGTACCCACTAAATAATACTACCCATTCTGCCCTACCCCAGTCCCTGGTAAGTATTGTTCTACTTTGAGTCACTATGAACTTGCCTATTTTAGGTACCTCATATAAGTGAATCATAAAATATTTTTCCCTTTGCTTCTGGCTTCTTTCACTTAGTATAATATTTTCAAGGTTCATCCTTGTTCATCTGTGGATAAGCTTGTATCAGAATTCCATTTCTTTTTCTGGTTGAACAGTATTCTGTTGTATGTATATACCACATTTGATTTATCTGTTCATCTGGATATTAATGAATTGGTAGTAGTTAATGGATTTGGCTTGTTTCTGCCTTTTGAGTATGGTGAATGATGCTTCTGTGAAAACTGGTATATAAGTATCTGCTTAAGTCTCTGCTTTCAATTTTTTTGAGTTAATACTAAAAGTGGAATTGCTGGATTATATGATAATTCTGTTTAACTTGTCAAGGAACTGCAGAACTTTTCCAAGCATCTGTACCATTTTACATTCCTACCAGCAATGCACAAACTTCTAGTTTTCTGTAATCTAACCAGTTTTTGATAATAGTTATCTTTAGAGATATGAAGTGGTATCTAATTGTTCTTTATTTTCATTTTCCTCATACTCATTGGCTATTTATATATAGTAGCTCCCCTCTTTTTTAACTTTCTGAAATTGTACCTACAGTCAACTGTGGTCTATAATTAAACAAACAATTCCAGAAATAAACAATTCATGTTTTTAATAACTTTCACTAGAATATATCAATATAATTGTTCTATTTTGTTATTAGTATTGCTGGTAATCTCTTTTTACTTTTCCTAACTTACAAGTTAAACTTTTATCATAGGTATGCAGGTATAAGAAAAAACATTGCCAGGGTATGTTGGTGCATATCTGTAATCTCAGCTACTTGGCAGGCTGAGGCAGGAGGATCACAAGTTTGAGTCCAACTTTGGCAACTTAGAGCCTGTCTCAGATAGAATTAAAAAGGGCTGGAGGGCTGGGATTGTGGCTCAGCGGTAAAGCACTGGTAAAGCAAGGCCCTGGGTTCGATCCTTAGCACCACATAAAAATAAATAAATAAATAAACAAAGATATTGTGTCCCACTACAACTAAAAATAAATAAAAAGTTTAAAAAGTTGGGGGGTTGCTGGAGATGTATCTCAGTGGTGAACTGCCCCCCAGTGTACTCCCTAGTACTGTAAGAAAGAAAACAGAACAACTTGGTATATATAAGGTTTGATACTCCCCTTGGTTTTAGACATTGTTGGGGGAGGGTCTTGGATAAAGGGGCACCGCGTAACTTCTTTAGAGAAATGTCTATTCAAGTCCTTTGCACATTTTAAAATTGGATTTTTAATGTTGAGTTATAGGAATTATTTATATGTTCTGGATGTTCATCCTTTAACAAATACACGGTTTGCAGATATTTCTCCCATTCTGTGGGTTGTCTTTCACTCTCTTGATAATATCCTTGGGTGCATGAAAGTTTTAAATTTTGTTGAAGTTCAATTTT